TTCTACTGCAACGTTTCACCACCTTGACGTGCAACTGCATTTGTCTCACCGTTTCATGTTCTGACTGTTTAGTTTCACTCTTCTACCACTATGTGACCAATGTCTCACCCATCCATGCAGCACCGCTCAGATTCAACTACTTGATATGTTATTTTATACACGCCGCAAGCTATTTCATTATACTATGTCTCTACGCACCCACTTGGATCGATATTGTCAGAAACGAGCCATGGCCCACTGACCACATCTCGCCTACCAGACGCTCACGCTCTCCGAATAGAGCACCTTCCTCGGCTACGGGAACTTCCCCATTTCAGCGCCCACCGGACTGGACACCTCCGTCTACTACACCCCATCGACCGGTGATTCTACAATTGGATTTGAAACCTATGCAACAACTTGCTGCCAGAAATCCGTACTTCAACATCTTGGCCCCCAAGGTCGCCGGCAACCTCTCCACGGAAACATATGACAGTCTTTTCCAAACCTTCAAGGTGATCTACCCGGACTACGCCCGCAGTCACTTTGTCTCAGACTTGAAAACTGTGGTGACGGATACGATCTTACAAAGATGGTCGATACACCTACAGGCCTCCGATTTCTACATGATGATCGATACGGATCAAGGAGCCCAGATGCTTGATGATCTCCCCCATTCCCTTTTGGACATTCTGAACTGGTACTATCCTTCATGGAAGACCCATCAACACCTCGATGCCTTCACACCTCGCGAATGCGCTCCTTTGGTGGTGACACCCCATCCAGATCCACAGGATACAGGCTTTGCTGTACATATTCAAGTGATTCCTCGAGGGCATCCGTTCGTCACGGCAACGCGATATACAAAGAATGCCACTTGAATTTCACGCCACCCATTTGGCAACTCAGCAATGACAGGTAAAAAGACACGCTCGTGGGAACCTTCAAATGCCCGCTGACCTTCATTTTCAATATTGCTCCTTTGTTGACTAGTTGGTTTAGAGTTTCGTCACCACAATTTCCTCCCGTTGATGTCCTTTCAACATTTATTGTGGACCTCCCTTGGGCAAATTTCGGCTTTAGAGTGCTTTTGACCTTATATTCTTTGCCTTTTTCATGGCGAACCACTTGAACGATGACCTACACCGGATGCTCCCAGCACCTTCTTCGATGCCCTCGACCAATACTACTGGTCCACACCCACTACCTGATGATCCAACCTCGGCATCGTACATTCCCAGGGCGGCCAGGATGATCCCAACTTCTACAACCGTCCATACTATTTTCATCAAGAAGCTCAGCTACCCCTTTACTTCTCGACCTGATGAACTATGGATCATTGAACAGACAGCAGATGGCAGAGAAACTTGGAAGCCAGTGGAAACCTTTTTGGAAAACTTGCACCTCACGCGTGACCGATCTACACTACGTACCACAGCCAATAATTGGCGCCGGCACTACGACATACCCATTCCGTCTTCCTCGTCCACTACGGCTCCACCTTCTCCGGTTCTCCCACATCCTGAACATTCCAACGTACGTGTCTCCCAACCATTTGAGGCCATCCCTGACCAACTGCACATTCTCCAATCTTGTTGGGGACGCTCTGCTCAACATCATTCACAGGGTACCACTATTTCTTTATCTTGGCCCCCATGGAGATCTACACCACCATCCTCACCATCAACAACACTTCACCGGACCCTGCACTTGAACAACTTTACTTCACCTGGACATCTACCTCACCACCCAGTACCACCTGATGACCCGGGCCCTATGGATATGTCAGACTCCAGTGTGTAACACACCACTCCGCTGTGCGACAGTAAAGAAGACCGACTACATGGGAATTCATTGGTTATTCTACGTGGCGCAAATATTCCTTCCACTTTTTCTCACGTTATTCTTCACTACCATAGGTAATTTTGTCACTATGCAGCTTGGGCTCAACTCTCTGTGTTTGACGCCATGGCTCCTTCCTTTCGTCCTCATCCATATCGCGCTACATCCACTGTGAACACACCTGAAGGCCCTAGAACTTCGGCTTGGCTTGCTGGACACGGAGGTCTCCCTGGCGATTGGGACCCTCCTCCACCTAGACCCATCTTGGTCCTTGTGATTATTCCCCTTTACAAGAATTGACACACCGCAGCCAACCTGATCATGCCCTATACAGTGCTCTTGCCAGTTCAAATTTCAGAAACGTTAGTGCTGGAGAACTCGAAGCTCTTTTCACATGGGCACGTTTATTTGAACCAATCGAAGCTGGCATTTTCCCTCTTCGAGATCTTCGCACCGCACTGACGACGAGATTACGCACCCAATGGGATATCCATATGGTACCTTCTGATTTGGAATTTCGCTACGGTGATCTTGAAGGAGATGTTTTCCAAGTACCACTCGATTTGACCATCATGCAGCTGTTGGAGGAATACCGACCTGAGTGGCGCACTCGACAGTACAATTACATTGAATCCACCTTGCTTGTACCTGGTTCTTCACAACCTTTCGTATTGCGACTTTGTTGCTATAAAGTCCGCCAAGGCATCATCTTACCATAACTTCATTGCAGCGTGACGGAAAAAGATACTACCTGTATGGACACTGTGATAAAGCTTTTCCACTTTTGTAATGAGCTTCTGAATGACAACATGCGATGTCGTTCCGTTTTTTCTCTCGTTTATTTCATGACCTCGCTTATGTTGGCACGTCGTTTCTTTCTCTATGTATTTATTGTTGGCTTGTTCATTGATCCTGACTGGCCCTTATTGTTCTCTCAGCTCTCGGTTTTTCTTATTCCCTCAGTGTATCCGTTTCACTCATGGAGAACAAACGCGACGCATCGGTAGCTGGCTTGGGATGGCCTTCCAATCCGAACCGGGGAAGCCCAGTTACACATCCTGGGGCAAGTACCGTTGATGCCCCTGCTCACCCAACCTCGACCCCTTCGGCATCTTTGGAAGCGGTGACTACATCCAATGACCCAGATACCTCATCGCCAATGGACACATACTCAGCCCCACCTCAACCTGCGGTACCTTTCCCGACACAAGGTGGCTCAACTTACACGGCTCTTCATCACGCACGTGTTACATCACGAGTGGTTCATCAGATTCACTTCAAGATCTTCACACACTCCAACAACACCAGGGAGTTATTCATCGAAGAAGTTCCTGCCTCAGGAATCTCCAAATGTCGTGATCCCGAACACTACTTCTACGGTCTTTCTGGCAATTGGGAGTGGTCTTTACGAACTGCAGACTATTGGCGCCATCATTTCGAGCTCCCATTATTACATGGACACAATCCCTTCCACAATGTTCCCATCGATCCGATCTCTCCTTCGGAAGTACCTGACCTTACCATGAAGATTCGGGATTTAGCCAAACAACTTTCAGACACTTTGACGGCTGCTACGGCATCTGGGGAACTCAACGATACTTGGAGGACGATTGAACGCATGTGCTTCCGCGACGCGATCCAGATACTTCAAATGGAAGAGAATTTCCCTTCTGAGTGAAATGAGCACAACATGTACATTAGCACCGGATAGGTTCATTCTCACTGAATGATTGCCGACCCCTCCCGCGGATTTCTTCCAAAATCAAACCTCGCTATATGCGGGGTGTGTGTGTGTGTGTGTGTAACATCTGAACAGATGTAAAACTTCTCTTTGAATTTTAACCTAGTTGCAGGGGGACTGGAGCCGATTTGCCTATCCAGTCCAACGAAGCTATGGCATTTCGGTGGATGAGTGGTCTGATCAACCACTTGTACCTGCTTTTTTCGGACATAGCAAGGGGCCAAGCTTAGAACCCCAACAACAATGTTATACAATTTGCTGCACTGTTGTCGCAATCTGGAATCAAATTTGGCCATTTTCGATTAGTTCAGCTGCATCAGAACCTTCCTCAGAGCAAGGACACAGAAAGCATATTTGTAACATTTTGTCTACATGATCGCCGACCACATCGTCGCCGACAGTTATTCATTAGCTAGACTTCGCCGAGACATCGCCGATGATATTATTGCTGGTTTATTTATTCTTTTTGGTGTCGATTCTGAACATGAAGACCACTCAGACGAACTTCCATTATTCGTAGGATGCATCGTTAATTTCATTGTTTCGTATCTAATCTGCATGTTTCAGGATTCAGTTCCTGCCGGATCATATAATGATCCATTCTTGTCTAGTGTGTGTGTGTGTGTGGGTGTGTGTGTGTGGGTGTGTGTGTGTGTGGGTGTGTGTGTGTGGGTGTGTGTGGGTGTATGTATATATATATGTACTGCAAGAGCAGTACGGGCAAAATGAAAAGTAATAGAAAATGTGGGCAGAAAATGGTGAGATCACCAACGTAATGAAGATGTGATCAGCAAAAATGGAATGGGAGCAACAAACCAACATAGAATAATGCAGAGATGTACCTTCTATATAGTGGATTCAGAAGTTCAGATTTACAAATCCAAGGAATCGTAGCGGATAAAAGTACCCCTGGTGGCCGGGTGCTTCCAAGATTCCGGAGGTAACATCCCATGTTGTGAAGGAGTATCTAAGTGGAATCAACATCCAAGTAGGGATTAACAACGGCATCGCCAGCAAGAAGAATGTGGTATTTCAATGTATTCCGCCGGAAAAAGTTGGTCGCCCCAAAAAAAGGCAGCATTTTTCCAGTTTTTCTGACTGGCCCATGTCTGTCTATGCGTTGAGTACTGAGATTTTGACCCATAGCGACCTCAAACGGCCAAGTGTTTGATGTTGAAGAATGCCCAAACTAATCAGGTTTAGGAACTTTGATAAATCATCCATGTAGTATAACTATACCATTTATTACTATGATGTGTGTGTGTGTATACTTGTATGTGTGTATATAGAGAGAGAGAGAGAAACAGACAGAGAGAGATAGATACATGTTACATATATATATATATATATATATTACATATTACATATCCAATCATATACATATTGTGTTCAGAAGTTGGTTGCTCTTGCCAAAAGATTGAGCCCTGCTTGTGCCAAGGAGAAATTGCCGTGCCACTCTGCCTTCACAGATGAATGCCATGAGACCTTTTGACCGAGGACCGCGCTGTTGCAGGGGTCACGTCCATGGGTCTGTCTGACAATGTGCAAAAATGATCAAAAATGGCCATTGCAATAGGACACATGATGAACCGGTGTATGGATTGGCATACCCTATGTTCGGACAGATCCAGGTCCCCAACACAAGCAGTGGAAATCTCCAACAATGATGTAAAACATGTTGGATCATCTCCAAATTGTGCTTTTTGAAACCACTAAGCCACTAAGACCCTAAGAACAGCTTCAAAATGAAACAGGAATCCATCCCCAAACAGCTGTCCTGAGATGTTCTGTTCCAGCCAGTCGGCCACTGCTTGATTGGTAGAGGGATTAACCCGCCATTCTCCTAGGCAAAGAATGGCACGTAGTACATCACAGTAATCACAGTACACTCAACCCCTGTATTTTGAAGCGAATTTCATCAAATTTTGGGACCTCGAAGCTGGGCTCCAAGGACTGCTCGGCAAACGCCCAGATGTAGAGATCCGCCACGCTTCAGCCGGTGCCACGTGCCGATCGCCTTTAGCATCCCAGCGATGCGGCCCGGCATGTCACAGCTGGTTCAGCAAAGATTATGTGGGACCTGGGATGTGATCGTGGTGTTTGTGTTTCTTACCTTCTGGCAGTCAACCCCAAGAGAAAATAAGCCCAGAACAAATTGTAGGGTACTTTTGGAGAAACAGGAAACAACGGACTTCATGAACATCAATCAACATTTATACATGGTAGATTTCCCATTGCCATGTTTGATTGCCAGAAAGTATTGAAGCAGCTGTCAACTCCTAAGTGTTCATCAGCCGTGACAGGTTTAGGATCGTTCCAGCCGCAGGGAGAAGCAATGGTCGTGGCTTTTGCTGGATGAGAATGGATGATGTCAAGGCATGTTCATGGAGAATTATCACGGAATATGTGGTCATTTCCAGTGAAACATGACTTTTCTTCAGGGGGATCTCAGATTGGCCACGTTTACTTTGAACTTCCTTGTCGAATCTTGCTACCTTTTGAGCAAACGGAGGAGCCACCAATGGCCTGTTGCAGACCATTTGCTTGCGTGCTTTGTACATAGACTATCATAGACTTGCAGTATTTTGAAAATGGAAAATAGATGAAAATAGATGTCCAAATGGCCCTTCATAAAGGACCCCAAAGGATGGACCTTCATGGCCGCATTCCACTTCCCTGGAGGACCATTGAGAAACAAAAATGCATCGAAATGCCACCGAATCTTGACATGATGCAAGGTGAAGTCCAGTTGGACTGTCACTTAAGTGTTGTGGCTGGAAGGAAACTATCGATGACAATTTTGGGCAAAAGGTTTCGAGAACAACCAGCAAAATCGGAGCTATTTAAGGACTGGGCTCTGGTGAAGGTGACTGGACATGTTCTGCAGCTTTCATCAGCACTTCGAACCTCACATCGGCAAACGACTCCAACGGGCACTCAGGGGATTTGGGCCCCCGCAAGATCCCCCAGCACACGTTAAAAGTATTGAAAAATATTGAACAATATTGTAATTATAGTACTTATACAATACTGGTAGTGTTCTCTCCATTTTGGTATTTGGATTATATATTTTAGTAATTTTTAGTATATATTTTAGTATTTACATGTATTTACTATACTCTCGAAGTTGAAACATGAAACCCCCCAGCAGAAGGGGTTGGGAATGGCTCGCTTCGCTATTGGTTTCTTGGTGAAATGTCATTTTGCTGGTAAAGTCGAAGTCCAAGTGTGCATCATGTTTTCCATCCGTAGCATGCCATATGTATAATCTGATTCCATATGTTCCTGTTGCATTTACCCCAACAATCCTCCTTTTTGGCACATCAAATCCACCCAGACCCGTTTGGATCCCTGGGATCGGCCCCTCCACGGCTGTGCTGTGCCATGGTCCCCCGCCATGGCGACGCGTCGTGCCACGGTCCTGTCGGAGCTCCAGCGCTTGAAGCGGATGCGGAAGGATTTGTCGCCGGGACCCAAGGTGCCAAAGCGGGGCAGCACCATGGGGCCATGGGAACGGGCATATCGTTCTTATGCACACGTGTATATACATATATCTATATGTATGTATGTAATGTAATGTAATGTAATGTAATGTAATGTAATGTAATGTAATGTAATGTATGTATGTATGTATGTCTTGACATATATATATATATATAGATATACATTGTATTATATACATATACATTGTCTATTATATATATACATTGTATTTTATACACATATATACATTGTATTATATACATATACATTGTATTACATACATATACATTGTATTATATATATATATACATTGTATTATATATATTTATATACATTGTATTATATACATATATATTGTATTATATATATATACATTGTATTTTTTATATATATACATTGTATTATATACATATACATTGTATTATATATATACATTGTATTATATACATTGTATTATATACATATACATTGTATTATATATATATATATTTACATTGTATTATATACATATACATTGTATTATATACATATACAGTGTATTATATATATACATTGTATTATATATATATATATACATTGTATATATATATATATACATATACATTGTATTATATATATACATTGTATTGTATATATATACATTGTATTATATACATATACATTGTATTATATATATACATTGTATTCTATACATATACATTGTATTATATATATATATACATTGTATTTTTATATATACATTGTATTATATACATATACATTGTATCATATATATATACATTGTATTATATACATATACATTGTATCATATATACATACATTGTATTATATACATATACATTGTATCATATATATATACATTGTATTATATATATATATATACATTGTATTATATACATATACATTGTAGTATAGAGTATAATAGCATTACAAAGTGCTTGAAATGAATTTTCGATCAGTGGAACACATCAGAGATCAGTTTGGTTCCTTTGGATATGTCATTCAGAAGCACAGTCACAGAGAGGTAGTACTGTATCCTTATGTATATGTATAACTGCATGTATATATATATATATACTACCTGCAATGAGATGCGCAGTGAAATTGTTCCCCTCAAACCATCGGGCTAGTTCGCCGGTAGTTGGAGATATGAAATATAGAGAGAGAGAGAGACATCGAAGATGAGATTTCGGGTTGTATATACTACATGTGTATGTATATATATATATGTATGTATGTATATATATATATACATATGTATATATATATATGTATATATATATATATATACACAATATGCATACATGTATGTACTGACATTCCTTTAGTATCCAAATCTACCAATGCGCTGTGAGGCCAACGCGCTGGACGTGGCCATCGAGACCTTGGTCTTTGCACTCAAGGTGTGGTGATCCGCAAGCTGGATACATTGGGTATGGGTCAATGGGTACCCCAAGAATTAGATGGTTAATATTGGTTAGTACATGTTAATACTGAAAATAAACTTAGATATGTGGTCAGGTCAATTTTGAGCCATACCCATATGTATATGTTTGGGTATATTTTGGGGATGTAATGGGGATGGAATGGGAATGTAGTGGGGATATATGATTCTAATGGGTTTCAACCAGTAAAATTGGTGGTATAAAACCAACCAGAAATGGGAAGGAACCTCATATGGTATAGCTAGCTAGCTAGATAGATCAACATAATTCTATAGATATGATATTATAGATGGCCAACATCTACTTGTATGATCTGGGTGTGTCTGATCCTGAATACCCTCCAAATTGGCCTTTCCACTGGGGGCCATCTCCCCATTTTGGGGAAAGAGATGACCCTCGGTGGATGGAATGATTTTTTTGTTGAAGTACCAAGAAAACTGTTTAGTGGTTAGCATATGGCATATGTTTTTGAAGATGTCCCATCCTAGAAATATATTCCTACTTAAAGACAACATGTTTTAACAGATTATACAGAATTGGCGCTGAAATAGGTTTGAACAAAGAATTGTTTGGTGGTTTCAATCATGTTTGAAGGATGACCATGCAACAGGTGACGAGGCACTGTGGATGTTTTTTTCCACCAACAGGCATGGTACCCCGCCCTCAACCTACCTGGAAGGGGGGTTATGCATCTACATCAACTAGAGCCACTAATAGTATGTGTATGAGTGCTGTACATACAAATACAATCAAACACATGTATGCCCACATGAGTATTTAGATGTGTTTAGTGATATTTTGTCTAACTCTTCCCACTATTGGCTGTTGCCATTACCGATGTAGATACTATATATATATATATTTGAATCCGCAAAAACGGTCAATGTTAACTGACTCGAAGTTACGTTCAAAGCGGATGGTTCGTTTACAGGGGATAACAGAAGGAGCTGCGTATCCATGAAAAGTATCCGATTAGCCATTTACTAGTCTAACAGTGAAATGAGGGGAACTAACCCTCAACCAATCCACAAGACTGAAACGTGTGAGGGCAAATTGAGTGTCTCGTGTCTCACTTGATTCCGACTTCGCGGCCGGAAGGTGAGTGTTAGCCATCCATTGATGCCACTAAGACTAAAGCCCATACTGATGTTGAGAGTATTGACGACCCTTTTTTGAAATGGCAAGCAATGGCAAATAATACTGTAGACGTTTATGCAAGCCCTCCTTGATTGGAACCCCACGTTTGCAAAAGCTTCTAGCCATTATGCCATGTCGGCAGAAAAACAAGAATTCCTGATTGAATATTGTAATTTTGTTAAGCACATGGCATCCATGGTCACGGATTCCCCGGTTAAGATTCAACCTGATGCCATCATCGATTTTACAACACGTATCCCCGTTGGTCCGTTCTTTGTCCATAATGTGCCTCAGGCCTGCCCTGAAAATTGGCCTTTTGGTGATTTTTTTTGGAATAGGTTGAGCAGCTGGGCACGGTTGTTGCAATGGTCCAATGTGGAATCCAGGCCAACAGCCATGTTGGAACTATATACAGACTTTGAATTAT